GCGGCCTTCGGCCGCACTTAGGGATTATAACCCTCAGGCAGTAGAATTCTCCTTTCTGTTTTGCGAAGAAAAGGAGCTGAACACCTTTTGCAGAGAACACCTTTGTATGTTTTTAATGCTTACTGGGTTATATCCTATCTTCTTTTGTCTCTCATTCTTTTGCATATTTTGGAGTTTGACAGCTGAACTCCGCCATTTAATTTGCATATGCAACCAAAGTCAGACGCGTGATTTTGAAGGTGTTTTTATTTAATGAATTGTGATGAATTGGTTAATATTAAAGTCGTAAAGCAAGTTATAACAAATCAAGTAAAGTGTAAAGTGAAGGGGAATACAAAAATATATTGGTGAAGTGGCTAATTTAAGCAGAATTGGAGTGATAAATGTACGCTAATTTCCGAATTTTACAAAAAAGGGCATATTTCAAACCCAATTTGTAAATAAATTAGTAACCAAAATTTACAAAAGTGAGTGTTAAAATATTGCGTGGACCCTTGACTACAAGTGTGTGAAATTTTTTTTGGATCGGGCCACCCATTTGGACGGAATAGCCCGAAATAGTTGTGAGCGGTACTAAACCCCACCCGGTATGAGTTACAACAAACACATCATTTTGACGTAATGGCCTCCACGGCGAAAAACTCAGCTGTCGCCCCAACACCACCTTGTTTAATACACCTTGATTAGTTCCGTATATAGGGTGCGTTCAGACATGCATCAAGCCAAAACATCAGGCTTTTATTTCTATACTGTAATTGTTGGAAATGTCCAATACGCGCAACCACGGTTACATTGAGCGTTGGAACTTAGTTCTGTTAATAAGCAATATCCATAAATTATAATTTAAAAATGAAAGAGACTGATGCATTTCTGAACACACCCATATTTGCGTGGATATTGCCTTTCTAAAATCATTAACGTAAAGCATCAGAATTTTCAACTTTTAAACTATATTTATAGAATATTTACCATATAATATAACGATGCTTTACAATAACGTTATTAGAAAAAAGCACAGATACATATGTATGTATGTGTACACATATGCTTTATCTTACAATACATTGAGTCATACATAAGATTTGCTTTGGTCTAATCTTTATGCTGGTCAAATGATCAATGCGGTTTCGGTTTGTGGCCATCCACATAGAAGTTTCTTGTCGCGTTTGGCAACTGTAATTCTATACCGTCCAGCTCTTTTGTTAAAACAATTTGACAGCCAAGTCGTGAGTTTTCTCTAAGGAATGGCGCCATATCTAGTAAGTCATCTTCTTTCTCTTGCGCTTCAGGTAAGTAGTCGTAATATTTTCCGATTACATAGACGTGACAAGTCGTACATGCCAATGATGCCTCACAAGCACCTTGAAAGAGATAAATAAATATGCTAAAACATTTTCACAGCCAGTACAAACCTTCCATCTCAATGCCGTGGCGGTGGGCCAAGTACAGTACATTATCTCCTACCTTTCCTTTGACTTCCGTTCGATTCCCATCTTTGTCAATATAAGTAACATTTACACTGTAAATTGTGCAATATATTTATTTAATTCTATACTTAAATTACTTTTTGAACTCATAGAACTTTTGCGTACATTTCATCTTTCGATTTGGGATCTTGCCACTCGTATTCTCCATGAAGCATTTCTGGAATAAGGTGATACAAAGTTAGCGTTTCATGACCTGTTACATAAGAGTTTACTGTTTGTAGTGTGGATCCATCTTTGTACTGCTAAACGCTTATTCGAGTGTGTGAAATTAACTGGAGCATTCCCAAATTGTCGCAACAGTAAGCGGAGCATTTTAGATAATTTTGAGGTTATTGTAAACAGCTGACCAAACGGAATCTATAAGCTGTGTTTCACAACAAAAAACTATTCAAATTTTTTACTGGATTCTGCTGGAAAGCCTTTCTTAACACAAAAAATTGCAGAAATGCAAGAATGATCTTGCATCTTGATGGCTGTCGCAATTTAACACACAGCACTTCATTTAAACTGATTTTTCACTTATAATTCAAATTTCTCTTTCGCTGATTTGTAAACAAAGGTTTATTTCATGAACCAAAAATACAAGATCACCTAATCAAAGAAGCAAGAAAAAAGTATATTTCTGAGTGTTTTTGACATCTGCCTAAGAATGAAAACAAACAAAGAAAACGAAAAAGGCGCGGTGATTTATTATAAAATATACAAAGTGAAACTTGATAACAATTAGCAAAACAAGTTCATAAAATATGGTTTTCATGATTGAAAGTGTTTTACAATCGCATATCATTACCACGGGTCGATTTTTCAATGCCAACGTTCTGGCCACAAACGTGCACCCACTTTTCATGCAAATTTACGCCTTTTGGCAAACCAAACATACGCACAAACTTGTTCCGATCATTTATAATTAAAATTTATAATTAAAATCGCTGCAGAAAACACATTCAATCGCTAAAAAATCACTACGAAGAGGTAGAAGACGGTGTAAACAAAACCGAAAAACGTCAAAAACGCTACGAAAACTTTTTTCTGAAAATCGATTACAAATACAACGATGGCTGATTAGGTGATCTGTAGTCGTTGGTTCATGGGTTTATTTACAAGTTACCACAACTGTCAAAATCGGCAAAACCAAAGTAGCGGTACCACTGACGGCACCACCTTTGTTCGCTGCACCGTGTGTACATATGTATATGAGTGATGAGGGCACTGCTCAATCGAGTAAAGCTGAAATTAGTCAAGAACGTAAACCTACCGGTACGTAAACCCGAGTCAGCTGACACGATCTGTCTTACCAAAGCGCCATGTAAATGAAAACTCAACGCCGCAGAATTTTTCTGTAGTTGTAGCCCGTAGCGCAGAAATCTGCGGAATTTAGATTTTTCCGTGTCAGCTGATTTCTCCTTCTTTATATGGTTGCCACTTCGTCAGTTTTGCAGATGGTAAAAAAGTTATAAGTTCCTATTCAAAATATGTTTAAAATATTTGAAATTTACTATTAAATAAGGTTTTTGTTTAAAACTAAGTAGTTTATATTTAGCTACAATCTATTACAGCACGAAAAATTGTGGTTGAAAGGGTAAGTTTATGAAAAGGCATTGAAGAGTGGCAACAGTGTAGTAAGCAACACTGAGGGCTCCAGTAATCGACAAAATTCTGCGTATACAGACTGCGTTTAAGTACACGTTCTGCGTTCTCGACTAATTTCAGCTTAAAGCTGAAATTAGTCAAGAACGTAAACCTACCGGTACGTAAACCCGAGTCAGCTGACACGATCTGTCTTACCAAAGCGCCATGTAAATGAAAACTCAACACCGCAGAATTTTTCTGTAGTTGTAGCCCGTAGCGCAGAAATCTGCGGAATTTAGATTTTTCCGTGTCAGCTGATTTCTCCTTCATTAGATGGTTGCCACTTCGTCAGTTTTACAGATGGTAAAAACGATATAAGTTCCTACTCAAAATAATTTTAAAATATTTGAAATTTACTATTGAATAAGGTTTTTGTTGAAAACTAAGTAGTTTATATTTAGCTAAAATCTATTATAGCACGAAAAATTGTAGTTGAAAGGGTACGTTTATGAAAAGGCATTGATGAGTGGCAACAGTGTAGTAAGCAACACTGAGGGCTCCAGTAATCGACAAAATTCTGCGTATACAGACTGCGTTTAAGTATACGTTCTGCGTTCTCGACTAATTTCAGCTTAAACTTTGCCGACCATAATAGGCTGTTTTTGCTTACGCGTAAAAGCACATTTAGCGCATTTAGCTCTAAATGCTACTCTAAATGTACATTTATCCATACAAAATTCGTCACTTAAATGCAACTAAATGCAACTACATTTTTGCATTAAGAATGTAAATGCTAAAAGCAACCCTGTGATCTTCCAAAATTTCCATGATTCGAACATGGTTTAAAGAGAAAAAGTGGCAACATTGCTTTTTCGAGTATACAGTTGCTAGCTGCGTTTCAGTGATCGCCGATCGAGATTTCTTTTATTTTGCATTACATATTTGGATAAAGAAAAGTTAAGCAAATTCAACATCGATTTGATACTGATAGAAATCTGGATCAATTTGTGATCAACTCTGTTTGGTTTGTTTCCTAATTAAGTGAGGAAATTTTAATTGAATGCACCAACAAATAAATATATACACAAACAAATGTTCGTTTATGGTTAAAACAATTCAAGTTTTTGTATTGAATTTTTGGTTTAAAATTTATTTTTTCCTTTTCAGTAGGGTTTTTGCACATTATCTTCTGCGTGAGAATTGATCGTAATATATACGCATCTAAATAAGAGACTGGAACACGGCTGTTTGTCAAAAGCATATGATTTCGAACTCGCGTAAATGTACATTTGCTAAATGCTATAGCATGAACGCTCTTCGAAAA